GATGAAAACTTATTGGGCATGTAAAATTCATGTCGCTTTGAAGCTACCTAGTCCTGCCTACCAAAGATAAGGTAGAAAAATTGGTAAAAACAAACAAAAGGGATTGTGCATCACGAGGGCTTTCAAGGATGAGCGGACAATACGAACACAAGGAGACATAATGAAAGGTCATTTCGAGTGTAAAAATTATGGGCTATGGATCTTCCAACTCCTCCCTACCAAGAATATCGTAAGAAAAATCGGCATAAACAATCCAAAAAGCCATGGTTGCAACACGAGGTCTTCCTTGGATGGACGAGGAATACGAACACACGGAGACATGATGAAAGCTTATTGGGCGTGTAAAATTCATAGCGCTTTAAAGCTACCTAGTGTTGCCTGCAAAAGTTAAGGTAGGAAAAATCGGAAGAAACAAACAAAAAGGACGGTGCATCATGAGGGCTTCCAAGGATGAGCGGACAATATGAACACAAGGAGACATGATGAAAGGTCATTGAAAGTGTAAAATAATGGCGCTATAGAGCTGCCATCTCCAGCCTCCCAAGAATATGGTAGGAAAAATTGGTAGAAACAAACCAAAAAAGGAGGGTGCAACACGAGGTCTTTCCAGGATGGGCGAGCAATACGAACACAAGGAGACATTATGAAAGCTTATTGGGCATGTAAAATTCATGGCGCTTTCAAGGTACCTTGTCTTGCCTACCAATGATAAGGTAGGAAAAATCGGTAGAAATAACAAAAAGGAAGGTGCATCACGAGGACTTCCAAGGATGAGTGGACAATACGGACACAAGGAGACATGATTAAAGTTCATTGGGAGTGTAAAAATCATGGCACTATAGAGCTACCAACTTTTGCCTCCCAAGAATATGGTAACAAAAATTGGTGGAAACAAACCAAAATGGGAGGGGTGCAACACGAGGTCTTTCCAGGATAGGCGAGCAATACGAACACAAAGAGACATTATGAAAGGTTACTGGGCGTGTAAAATTCATGGCGCTCTTAAGCTACGTAGTCCTCCAGACCAAAGATAAGGTAGGAAAAATTAGTAGAAACAAACAAAAGGGATACTGCATCACGAGGACTTCCAAGGATGAACGGATAATACGAACACAAGGAGACAAGATTAAAGGTCATTGGGAGTGTAAAAATCATGCCGTTATGGAGCTTTCATGTAGTGCCTACCAAGAATTTGGTAGGAAAAATTGGCATAAACAAACCAAAAAGGCAAAGGCGTAACACCAGGTCTTCCCTGGATGGACGGCCAATATGAACACAAGGAGTCATGATGAATGCTTATTGGGCGTGTAAAATTCATAGCGCTTGGAAGCTACCGAGTCTTGCCTGCCAAAGATAAGGTAGGAAAAATCGGTAAAAAGAAACAAAAGGGACGGTGCATCATGAGGACTTCCAAGGAAAAGCGGACAATACGAACACAAGGAGACTTGATGAAAGGTCATTTTGAGCGTAAAAATTATGGGCTATGGATCTAACAACTCCTCCCTGCCAAGAATATGGTATGAAAAATCGGCATAAACAAACCAAAAAGGTAAGAGTGCAACACGAGATCTTTCCTGGATGGACGAGCAATACG